ATTGAGCCATAATTTAGCCAACAATTACAAACTTTTGTTTACTTTTTGGGGTGACAGGGATAATTGTGTGTTGCTTTGGGGGCCCCCTGAAGGCTTTAAGGAGCCGAGCAAAATTAATCTGACTGTGGACCAGATTCACCTTTTACTTCACAATATTTCCTTTTAATTAATTTTCTTCTAACCACTCAAATCAAGCATTAATTAACAGAATAATTATGTCCATTTCTGGCATTATAATAAACTATAAGAGTGAATTTATAATTATTAGTGCATCTGTTGAAAAATTTAAGCTCATTGTATTTAACGTCGGACCTCATTTGATGATTGGCAGAAACAACAATCATTACCTTGTTTGTTTTGTAACAGTGTAAACTAATTTTTCATAAAGATTCTCAACTTTTCCTAATAACCTGCAGTTAAAAACATCAGTTTGTCTCTGACATCACTTTATTACAGCCTGACAGCCATTATTTACCTTCCTCCTCCCATCCCTGCTCTAATTGACAGCGCTTTAGATAAAAATGTAGAAAGTCTCTACAAAAAAAAAAAAAAAAAAAAAACTTTTAAACAAGCAACACTGGAAACACGGAGCAGCAACAGGTGCTCAGTTTACAGCTGATAATGGACTGGCTCACTTAGCAGCTGCGCAGAATGTCCTTTCCTAATAAGGGGGAGAAATTCGACTGTCAATACTAAACAATTATTGGCTGTGCAATTGTCCGTCTGTGACAGTTGTTTAGCAGGGATTTGTTATGGGCAGTTGGTGACGGGTGGATTCTGGCTGACGGTGATTTAGCAGGTGGGTCAGGTGTATTTGCTGGCCTGACAGGGATAGACTCGGCTCTGGCTGTTGTAGCTAACAGGCCAAATGAGCGTCTGCCTGTGACAGGGGCTGAGATGGACATTAGCTGCTGATTTGGGTCCTGAGCGGTCAGGGTTGGGGACGACTTAGCAACTCAACTTTTTGGGCTTAATGACGATGATGCAGCTGCAACAGGAGAAAGGAGGGGGAGGAGGACAATCAGGATAAGGAGGTGGTGGTCAGTGCTCGGAAAGCAAATGAAGTTCTTAGAGAAAGACAACACAGAGTAGAGGTGACACATAATTGGAGGTGGGAGTGTTGAGTTGAAAGTGTTAGTGACTAAGTGAGGCATGAGAGGAGACGTGGCCGGTGCAAGAGACACACAAAAAAGCCTTTATTACAACTTAGCTAGAAAAATAATGTGACAATGAGCTGCAATTGCAAACAAGTTAAAGTGTTAATAGTTGTAACTAAATCAGGCTTCTTTTGTTCTTCTAAAAACTGCTTCACTTCATAATGATCAACAACGACCTAAAGAGCTGTTTTATTTTGTTGACGACTTTGCTCAGAGAAATAACAGAGCGTGAGTCATGTTATTTAAAAAGGAATTATCAGAGCCCTTTCTCAAGGCGTCCCCGCCCTGGCTGCTCAGATGGGTGGGTGGGGTGTGTGTGTTTGTGTGTGTGCAAAGGGTTAAGACCATTTGGCTGATGAAATGCCGCTCTAGGACCTTGTGGTGGGAAAGCTGTGCCCTCCTCCCCTCCCTGTCTATGTGGCACATCCTCCTTAGATCCTCTCCACACTGTAATTAGGGGCCGGCCACTGAGAGAGCCAACGCTGGCTGTAGCAGGCAGGCAAACAGTGGGAAAAGACAGGAGGGGTGGGGGGGGGTGATCGACGGGGCTTCAGGCGAGCAAACGGCAACATCAGCACGTGTCCCATATAGTTCCAGGAGAGGATGGAGGGATGGCGAGCGGATGACAGCAGGTTGGCCGAGCCCTCCTGAGTCAAACTCTTTCTCCCTCTCGTATCCACTTGCTGTTGTTCCAAGCTCAGCACTATTGTTTGACTTGGCTGGCTGTCACAGGGAGGGGCCCCTCGTGCTTGTGTTTGTGCAACCTGTCGGGGAACTTTTAGGGCCATCTGATCTCTCACTTGCTCTCTGACTGCATAAATGTTGTACTTTTTGTACTTCTGAAGATGTTGCGTACATTTAGAAGACTGGAGCGTTTCCTGTCACTCTTTTGTTTTTGTTTCCACAGCAAGGCACTGGTCCTCAGCCCTATATGCCATACACTGCCCCCCTCCCCCCGCCCACTCTAAGCAGACGTTTTAATTATGTCCACACTGTATCAATGGCATGAACCCAGCTTCAGTTACCAAGCAACAAGATCGACAAGAATAAACTACATATAAGATTGGTATCCAAGTTGCGTACCTGCAGGTGAACTTAGGGGTTTTCACTTTTTTCCTCCTTTTTATTGATTTTTTTTAATTTCGGCATTGTGATCCCAAGCAGCACCAAGAAGAAAGTGAGACACTTGTTTTTGTCTATGTGGCTTCAGCGCTGGCCCCATTCAGAGCCAGTCAACAATGCAGCTGTGGTGTTCAGGGCCGCTTCAAAGTATGTATCTACACATGCCTCCGGTGACCACCAAAGTGTGGATAGCTGAGTTTAGGCTCTATTCATAGATTGTGAATGAGCGAGCATACTGCCAGAGGAAGTTTTATCACTTCGACTGTAAACAACAGAGCAGTGAATCAACAGGTAGGAACTCAGCTCGGGCGGCAGCGGAGCAGAAATGTTGGGAAAAACAACCAAGAGGGGTTTTGTGTACGCACTGAGACGGCTCTGTATCAGGCCGGTGACATACCGGAACGTCACGTCAAATGGAGTGAAAACCCTTATTGCGAGTAAGCATTTTGACAGGATACAGTATCTAGAGTACAATCTGACCTCTTTTGTTGTTTTTCTTCACTTCTCACCACATCGCAGTCGCACAGCTGTAGTTCAGTCGAAGGCATCAGGCTTGCTCCATGCTTCTATCTGCTACAGACAGATGAGATGGATGGACATTATCACAGACAATCTCTCATGTATCCATTATCACAGAGTGTAAAATTATATATAGTGGTTTTTGCTTTTATCAAGATGATGGGGTTCCCTAACTTGCAGCAGCTCCACAAGAATTTGTAATGACACGTTTGAGAATAAACGTGATGTTTTCTCAAAATAAGACGTGCTGTATTTACTTGTTGCCTGTGCTGCACAGATGGTATACAACAAGCTCAACTAGAGCAAATAAAGCTGGACTGCCACTCAGTGCATTAACTATATCAGCTTGCTCTTATTCCTTATTCAAGACTGCCTTTGAGAGCCCTTTGTCTAATGAATAGGTAGCACTTCATTTCTAACTGAGATGCAACTAACCACTTTTAGTTTCAGACCCCGTTTCAGTAGTTTTTCTTTTTTTTAAATAAAATGTCTATCTTTAAGAACTTCTTATTCCTTGCCTGAATAGTCCTTGCTGCAAATGTTACATTACCAAACTAAAAGTTAAGTTTGAGGCAGCCACTTGAGATTCAAGAAGCCGGTTAACAGTGGAGGCACCATTTAGTCAGAGCAACAGGAAGTGATCAGTCATTAAGTGCCAGCAGGAAATCAAATGGGACATATTTAAATTCATTTATCACAACACAGTTAGGGCCTGTCACGCTATGATTGCATTTAAGTTTCAGAGTGAAGCATGTTTTTAAAAAAAAACAAATAAATCAACACAAAAAAGCCCAAAAACAATTCAGCATAGTTTTTTGCAAACTTCAAAATATCTTTTCAAGTCTCTACGCATTAGTTTTAAAATGCATGTATCTACTGCCAATACAACGGGGCTTGTTTTGTCTTTATATGCGTAGGAATAAAGAAAAATGTCTTTCTAGTTTTATTGTGTCCATCATATGTTACTTTGACCTTCCGGATAAGAAAATTTACATCAGTAGAAACAATTTAAAAACATGTATGTAGCTGTAGACATAATATATTTAATCCAGATATTTAAGAATTAATGAAATCCCTTTGAACATGTTCCTATAAAAGACACACGTTTCAAAAAAATCAAAAACAATCATGAATTAGAAGTTAGAAAAATGGATCAAAATCTGTGTTTATCAGAATCAGTTTGACCTTTGTTTATTGAAGTGTAACTAAGTTTGGTTTTGTTTCGTTTTGCTTCCATGAAACAGAAACCGAAGGAGGACAATGGTTCATCACAGAGAAGAGGACCTGATTGGGATCCCTTTCCCAAATCACAGCAGCGACGTCCTCTGCAGCCTCAACGAGCAGCGCCGTGACGGGCTGCTCTGCGATGTCGTCCTCATTGTGCGGGACCAGGAGTACCGTACCCACCGCTCCGTTCTGGCCGCTTGCAGCCAGTACTTCAAGAAACTCTTCACGGTGGCCACCACAGACAGTGGGGACCCCCATCACGCCGCGGCCGCCGTTTATGAAATTGACTTTGTGGCTCCAGAGTCTCTGACTGCCATCCTGGAGTTCGCCTACACCTCCACGCTGACGGTGACGGCGTCCAACGTCAAAGAGATTCTGACCGCAGCACAGATGCTGGAGATTCCCTGCATCATCAACGTCTGCCTGGAGATCATGGACAGCGGCGGCGGAGGAGACGGAGGAGGGAGAGAAGAGGAAGGGGAGGAGGAGGAAGAGGAGGAGGAAGATGAGGAGGACGACGATGAGGAGGAGGAAGAGGAGGATGCGGGGTCAAGGAAGGATGAGCAGGATGAGGAGGACAATGTCAGCGAGAGGTCGCTGCAGTCGTTGGAGAGCAGAGGGGAGCGGACGCCTCCAGGAAGGGAGGATTCATCGCCTCCGAGCACGTCAACGTTCCAACGACACTTTGAGGCGCACAGCGAGCCGTCCCAGTCCCAGTCTCCAGACTCCTTCAGAGCCAAACAGGTACAGTTTGTTCATGCTTACCTACTTCTCTCTCTAAGTTTATTATTTTTCAGAAACAGGGCTTTTGATGATAGATGGTGTTTTTTTTGTGTTGAAGGAGTGTATGGAGAGTCGGGCTCTGAAGGATTTCTCCATCGAGTCTCTCCTCCAGGAGGGGCTGTACCCCCGCATGTCAACACTGGACAGGAGAGCCAACTTCTCCCCTCTCATCCCAAGCTTCTACCCTTCCATGTGGGCAGCCGAGTTCCCAGCCTTCCCCCAGCAGCTGCTGACCCCCACACATCCCCACGCAGCAGCCTCGCCACAAGCCAGGCACCCTCACACCTTCCCCACGTCTGTGCCTCTCGAGCCCTCCAGACCCCTCAATCTCGCTGTGAAAAGAGAAACCATAAAAGAGGAAATGAAAGAGGAAGTCCCACCCAGTCTCCTCCAAGGTGACTTCCTGAAAGACTTTGTCAGTTCTGGCCTGGGCAGCACCATGAGTGCTGGATCAGCTGGCTCCGAGGATCACTCTATGGCTCCGATTAAGGATGAAACGGACATCCGGTCGTACCTGAGCTTCCTGAGCTCGGCCTCCCACCTGGGTGCGCTGTTCCCCTCCTGGCAGCTGGCGGAGGAAAGGAAGATGAAGCCTAAAGCTTCGCAGCAGTGTCCCATCTGCAACAAAGTCATCCAAGGAGCCGGGAAGCTGCCGCGTCACATGAGGACACATACAGGAGAGAAACCTTACATGTGCACAATCTGTGAGGTGCGATTCACAAGGTATGTTAAAAACAAAAACCACAGAGATTATGTTCAGATCTTCTGAGTCTACAAAGCACTGTTTTTTTAAACTGCAGGGTTAACAGAAAATTATTTTTTTTTTCCTTTTTTAGAATAAGGTTAATCTGTTTTCACTCTATCTAAATATCAAAGAGTTCAAAGTGGAAAGCCCCCTCCTCTGTCCTAACTACATTCACCTACCTTCCACTTGTACTGAAGAGCTGAGGTTTAATGACAATGTAGACAAAACACATTCAGTCTTTTTAGGTCACTCATTTGTGCAGGAGAATATTAAAAATGCACAAAGAAGTGCAGCTCTCTGACAATTGTGCAACCCTTCACCTGGTTTTTGTTCTGTTCCCAGGCAAGACAAACTCAAGATCCACATGAGGAAGCACACAGGTGAGCGCCCCTACATCTGCCTTCACTGCAACTCCAAGTTCGTCCACAACTATGACCTGAAGAACCACCTGCGTATTCACACGGGTGTCCGTCCGTACCAGTGCGAGCACTGCTACAAAAGCTTCACGCGCTCCGACCACCTACATCGGCACATCAAACGGCAGAGCTGCCGCATCTCCCGCCCCCGGAGAGGACGAAAGCCGGCTGCTTGGCGCTCCGCACCTGCCAGCAACTTCTTGTGCCCTCCTGCTGTTGCAGCCAACCGCTTGGAGGAGAAGAGCTTAAGACCTGCATACCACGGGGTCAAGGGTCAGGGACTCGGGGAGTTGCTCGGCCTCGGCAGCAGGAGCCTGGGATTTAAGAGCATGAACGGTTCGAGCAGGGAGGAACTGCAGGCAGAAGGGAACCACGTCTCAGAGGAGGAAAAGGCCGGAGCAGGGAGGCAGAGGGGAGTGTTTGCCTTCGCCCTAGCTGGAGAAGAATTGCTTACCCACTCTCCGTTTTATGCTGCAACCTCTGACCCTTGGACCATGAGACTGGAGCGGGCTCCACCCATCCCTGAATCAGCCAAATGAACTCTGTAAAAAAAAAAGGACAAGAAAATCTCACATCTGTCCCAGGAAGTTAAAGCACCTTTAGTAAAAGTGAAAGAGTGATACTGATGAACCTTAAAAAGCCTGCTGATGTGGCTGTGGGGAACGCAGATGATTTTAAACACACGGTCAAGTTAAAAAAGAAAAGAATGTTTACAGATTTAAAAGAAAAACATTTCAGAGGTGAACAGTTCGACAATCGCTATGATAAAACGATGGGACAGAGCTTTATAACTTCAGTTGTATTATTTTGTCTTTGAGGCTGTTCTGTAATTTCCCTTTGGGATCAATAAAGTATTTTTAAATTTGAATTGAATTGTACAATGAGTTTTAAATCCTTTAAGACAAGGCCATAAATTAAAAAGAATAAAATCCATATTCAATAAAAAATAGCAGAATAGTCTTATCTAAATTTTTTAAGAAAAAGTATTGGGAAGGGTATTTTTACACTTTTGTTTCGTATTCAATTAGATGTGCAACAGAAGATTTGAAAAAAAAAAACCTTTTTAATGTGTGTTCAATGAAGCTGATTATTTGTTATTTTACAAAAAATAAATGGATGCCAAAAGTGAAAAGCACTTGAAGTCTGAATCAGGATATTTTTCATGATGTTCTACCTTCCACTGCCTTGTTCATTTTTGAGCTCCTCATCTGCACTATTGTACAGAAAACTTTTGACTGTGGTGATGTCAGTTACGGTGATATGGCTGATGATGTAAAATATAAAATCTATAATTATACATACATATATATATATATTGCTCTTTAAAGACTTCGAGAAATCCACCCAAAGATGAGTACTTTGATATTTCACAGACTTGAATACAACTTTGTTTTAATATTTCAAAGCTCATGTCTTCAGAAGATGTATATTTCTGACTAATCAAAAGCCGCTTTAGCTACAAAGTATGCTTGTGGGGTTTTTTTATTATTGTTTTTTTTTTTCCTGTGCAACAAATCAACAGGGCTTCAGCCTCATTTTTTTCTTACAATGTTCATGTCTAATTTGTGCATAAATAAGTGCTAAAACTATTTGAATTGTTACGGGAAAGTATTTTCTTGTTATTTATGTGTATTTAAATGGATGAGCCTTGGCTATATTTTGCAAATCTGTTTTATAAAGACACTAAATGTTGAACTTTACTGTTGTCTCAGTGTTTTGTTTTTGTAAATCATATATATGTCTTTGTGCAAGACTGATTGATAAAATTCAGAAAGCATCAAACAAAATAATGAGGACAGATATAATTCTGGCAGAATTATTTTATAGCAAAACCCATTTTTTAACTTTCATAAACTGCTGTCATTTTGAACAGCAGCCAATAAATTATTTATACTATTTCTTATAGATAAGTTTTAACTACTCAGACAAAAAAGTGTTATTGTTTCACACAACACCATATTGGAAGATCTTAAGTAACATGTTCCAGCTAAATATCTGTAAAACTGACAGTTATAGCCACTTTTTTAAGCTACAGTATTTTGTTTTTGTCTCTTTTATCAATTGTAGATATGCGTCCAATGAGATATTTTGCTAACAGACGGGCAAACCAACACAGGCAAATTTACAACCCACTTTTCAATTAATCACTCTACCTTGTGGTAAGTAATAATATGAAAAAAGTTTTTTGAAGCAAGAGCAACAGAATTTATCACTTCAGATAAATTAAGAAAACACCTGAAGGACGTTGAGTCAAAGGTTTCAGAAACATTCAGTCATGGAAGACAGGTGATTTAGACCAGTCAGGATGGGTTAACAACCTTAAAAAGTTCATAGTTTTCTGGGTGGGTGGGGGTGGTAGTGGGGGTTGAATTTGATTACTTGATTTGTGAAAATGTTCAAAGCATGACATTATAATTACAGTGGTTGTGTTATTTACCCAGAATTCTTCTGTTTCTTTGTACTGACCTCTAGTGGAAAATATAAACAATTGATTTAATTTGTCATAAAAGAGAACAACCTCAACATTTCATTATGAAAACAAAAACAACAAACATTTATGAAAATGTTTTAATATTAAAGTTGTGTTGCAATTACACTTGTCACGTTTTGAAGTTATCTAATTGGCTTCCTAAACAACGATAATAACCGTAATAAAGTTTTCCACCAGGGAGCGCTAAAGATTTAGCATTCAGATCTCTGCAGTGACTAACTCTGGTTATAGTAGCTAATTTTACTGCCTGCTAAAAGGAATAACTCTTGATAAAATCTCAACCTAAAATAACATCAGCAGCAGATATTTATAGTCTGTAACTTTAAAGATTACCTAAGAAGATGAAAAAGGATTTTGTATTCAGCATCTAAAAGTTTTTTCTTTTCTTTGTAGGTTTCAGATCAAAATATGTCTATTAAACAGTGTTACTGCACATTGCAGGTTTTCCTGTTATCCTTCAGCCCTAGGTAAAAGTTCACTTTTTGATTTATCAACATAACCATTTTTCAATTTTGCTGTAAAAAATAACTATAATTATTAGAGCACGAATCATTTTTAAAGTCTTAAATGGGTTTTGTCTCAAACAGCCTTTATAGGTATAAATTTAAAAAATGTCATTGTTTTTTTTAAATAATTTTGAAAGGACTGCTGTAAAATTTAGTTTTCTTGTTTTTATGTACACAAACTTTTGGGGGAAAAATAGAAACAATTTTATTTCCTATGATTTTACTTTTAAACGGGTTCTAATTATCACTGAAATAACAACAGACCAACAGTGACTGTTGGGCTGTCCGTGCGTGAGTCAAAGATAGGCTTATATGGGAAAAGTACAACCACATGACAAAGTTTTAAAAGTACACATGTGTGTGTATGTTCTTGATTTCCTGGATCCCAGCCCTCCTGAGGTGTGAGTTCCTGACCCAGTAACCCACAGTCCCACTTGGTTCCTTTTTCTTTTCTTCAGTCACCACCCTGATGGGAACCATGTCTGAGCCGTGTGTTAGAATAAACAGTGGTTCATAGTGTGTGTGTGTCAACAAACACACACACACACACACACACACTTCTAATGGGACATCCTCTGAGGAAGCGTTACAACAATGCAGCTCAGAGTGAGAACACCAGGACAGAGGTAACAGTTTGATGTTCTCTGTGGGCTTTCTGAGAGCCCAGAGCGGAAACACATTCACAAAAAAGAATCTTGAAAAAAAGGCAACAGTTTTTTTTTCTTTGTTTGTTTTCTCACATACACGGAACAATGCATATGTACAATATGACATCCTTGTCAGTGTCTGAAAACCTACTGAACTCTCGAAATACTTTTGTGCTGGAGAAATTAACAACAAAAAACATTCATTTGTATCTAAGGAAGTTACATACTGTAGAACACCAGGAGTGAGCCTTGACCACGTAACCATGTGACCTACTGTAGCAGCTGTGGAGCTCACCAGAACGGGCAGGAGTCTGGATTTAGAATTACTGTACATATTAGCAAAAGAACAAACAGTTCGGGCTGAATATTCAAGAACTCTAAAAGCTATTAATAATAATAGAAACAAAAATTTTCTTAACATTATAGAGTGTATATAAGCTATGTAATGTATAAAATACAAGCCAGAAAGTTTTGTGTGGATATACCAACAGAAGATGAACAGGAATATGTTTCATTTCACAAATACGCAGATTTTATTAAACTCAATGTGAGTGTGATCTGACCAGAACTGAAGCTAATAATGTAACAATTTAACATAAGCTTATAAAGTCAGTTTAATCACTGATAATTATTGAATTGGCTAGTAGATAGCTCTGTAGCACATTGTGAGTTTCTGAGACTGAAGCCTCATGTTTTGAACCAGATCATCAACACAGGAGCACCACAGGGACTGTACTCTCACTACTTTACACTTTAGACTCCTGTCTTCTGCAGAAATATTCAGATGACTCTGCAGTCATCAAGTGTACCAGAGATGGACAAGAAGCTGAATATAGGGAGCTGGTAGATCGCTTTGTGGCATGGTGTAAAAACAATCATCTCATCATGACTGTGAATAAAACGAAGATGATTGTGAACTTAAAGAGAAATAGGAACAGGTCCAACACTATTTATATAATGGTAGAAGAAGTGGAGGTGGTGGAGTATAAATACAGTCAACAGACTAGACTGGAGAAGCAACAGTGCAAGAAAGTACAAGTACAAGAGACTTTACTTCTCGAAGACGCTTAGGTTCTTTTGCATGAAAATGCTGCAGATCTATAAGTCTGTTGTGGAGAGTGCATCCTTCCATCTATTGAGGCAGCAACACCAGAGCAAGCAACTTTAAAAAGCTCAACAAGCTAATTAACAGGGTTGGCTCAGTTCTTAAGGATTCCTCTCTAGAACCGCTGGAGATTATTGTACAAAGAAGGATTTTTTCTTAAAATGAAGATTATGGACAACCCTGAGCACCCTCTTAATCAGACTGTCTTATTACAGTAAAGTGTCTTCAGTCAGAGGCTGCTTCAGATCCACTGTGAGAGACTGCTACAGGAGATTCATCAGCATCTATTTGAAGAAACCAGGATATGAGATAAAAGAACATTTAATTTCCCTTTGGGATTAATAAAGTATTTTTGAATTGAATTTATTTTAAATTGACTATATTGTTATACAGAGTATAGCACTCTGCGGAATCATGCTACAACTTAGCACAAATTATTAAATATTACAAGCTGGTTTTGCCCCCCATTTATGTAATATTTACACAGCGTAAAATATTAACATATGTTTGACTGTTTAGGTTTCCATTATACAAACCTGAATTGAGGAGAAGATGGTCAGCCAATGCAAGTTTCTTCCTTCAAAGGACCGGATATGCAGTGAACATTTTTTAAGTGCAGACTGCTGACTGAGCTGCAGGGAGGAGCTTTGTAGCAGCAAGTGTTTAGGCAGCTCCACACAGCTACCATAGGAGATTCAAGGATTTCTCAAACTTGCGTGAATGAGTCAAACCAACACTTCGGGTGTGTTTTTGATGAGGGAATGACATAATAAGGGCTCTATAAAATCTGCTTTATTTTTTCCCAAATTCCGTTTTTTTGTTTTGTTGTCATTTTTCTAAATTCCACTTTTTCCATTTTCCCCCTGAATTCCAAATTTTTATTGTAACCATATTTATTAACCTAAAAAGTGTGTGATTATAAAGTGACTGAACAATAATTAAACAAATAAATAGCCACAGAAATAAAAAAAAATAATGTTTATTATTTCACTTTCACTAATATGACAAATAGTTGCGGTTCAGTAGAACATTAAATCCTTTTTGAAAGGTGTTTAAAAGTATTTACTAGTAAAAAAAACATTTGTTATGTAAAACAGAATCTCACATATTAAAGTTATCTTTTGTAAAATAAAAATGTTTTAGAATTTAACTTAACATTAAATGTATCATAAAGAAACATTAAACCTTCAAACAGCAACAATTTGTGCACACTTGCCAAATGAATAGGACCTAAGCTCATTTACTTCTGTATTGGAAGATCACACACACACACACACACACACACACACACACACACGCACGCACGCACGCCCGCACGCACACACACAC